GTAACCGTCTAAAAGGATCTTATGCAGGGCGCTTTGGCCTTTTTCTGCTTTTTTTTCAAACTTTTAACAAGCACCTGCAAAATCATATTTGAATCCCTCTATTCCAGCTAATGATTGCGGGATTTCTTTCTAACCTGCCACATACGCGGTTCTCGAGTAGACTAGAGAGACTTCAGCAATAATTTCAATGAAGTATTCCTCACTTACCGTGGCCACGTATGTTCTCTTTTTCCTTCAGTGCATGGCTAGTGACGGGCTGCTCCTCACGGATTAGCTATAAATAACTCTCAGAACCAAAGCAGAAGTTATTTCAAAAACAAAACGATTCCCACGCCTTCTTCTGACTCTTGAGCTCCACTGCCGCTAGTTTCCTCCTCTCTCAAATCGGAGTCGCTGTGAGACGCTTTCTGAGAAGTGGAGTTGGATTTCCTCACTATCTTTGCGTTTTCAATATCCGAAAATGGATCTCGTTTGAATCTGAAAGTTCCATTTGGAGAACTAAGTGGTGAACGGAAAGAAATTCAGTCACCTTTCTATCGATTCGGCGATTTTGGTAAGCCAGACTCTATCCTCCTCAGCTAACGGTATATCATGAGCTGAAAGGCAATTTGAGATAACCAATCATAGCCCATTTTTTTGACGCAAGTGGTCGCTCAGAGTATGTGAGTGGGCGAGAATGTCTTTCATCGCTTATGCCCCTCCTTGGTCCTGACTTCTCACTGGCTAATCCCATCTTTACACATGAAGAAGGATTGTGAGCAATGTCAGATAGTATCGCCCACGTGCACAGTACGATAGGCTCTCACTAAAGACATACTCTACGCTGATCGAATGGGCAGAGACAGTCGGCCATTGTGTCACATTGGACGGCTGTTCCCGCCCACCCGGACAGTGAAGACTGTGCCCTCGAAGTGGAAGATCTCACAGTAATCGAGAGTAAAGAGTAATAGAATAACAGGGATAGTAGAGAAAATAAGACCTCTTCTGGTGCTATTTGCTTTCTTGCGTGTTTCCATTTGCTGTAGCCGATCAAGAAGGATTTTTCTGTGTTCATCTTGTTCGACCTTCTGCTTATCGAGCTCCTGAAAAGAAGGCATGATATAAGATGCAAAAAGGAGCTGCAGGAGTATTCATAGAATTTGCGGCCGGGTCGATCCAGAATGCGCCACGACGCCAAAGGACTGTATCACCATCGTTCGCCATCAGGTCGTATTTCCACCAAATGTAGTCACTTACCCGCTTCAGTAACTGGTGAAAAACGGACTCGGTGTGCCGAACCCAACTATGCCGACATATCCCATTAGCTGCTGGGAACAAAGCTGTACTAGGCTTGTCAGTCGTGTCACATGTTGGAGAAGAGTGTAGGTCCTTCAGGAGTTTTCAAAACTGAGCACACCCTACAGACCAGCCAGCGATGCCCAAATGAAGCGAGACTCTTCACCCTGAATTGTGACACTTGCCGTAATTATTTGCGGGCTTATGCAGGGAACGGTCGAATGGTCAGCCCTTCATCAGAGCCAGGGCTGCTCTTAACTGGACTGTGAAGTTTTTTTGCTGTCAAATCAAAGGGAGGTCAGCTCCGAACTGGCGTGTCTAGTGTAGATCAGCAGACTGAAAGTGCTTGGGAATAGAAGAATCATCTTCACCCTGACGCTGCGATTTTAGTATAATTCGGGGGTCTGTTACCAGGGCAACGAGTCAAAGGGCCAGACGCTGTATAAGGCACCGCACCCATTCTTACTCGGACCGTGGGGCAATGGGTTAGCTATCTCATAAAAAAAATTGCGAGTTGAAGAAGACAAGATTCTCCTGGGTATCCAGGCACCTTGGATGAAGTTTCCTGCTCCATAGGTTGCGAGTCTTTGTCAGCCCTGCGCATATGGCAACACGCATGTTTGTTTGTGTTCATTCGGTTGTTGCTGTGACTGCATCAAGCACTGGTTGGCAAATAAGTGCAACTCAAAATCCTGTTGCGGACCGTAGTGTTGACTACAGGTCTCTTAATAGAGAGATTAGTTAATTCTACAGAAGTGACGAAAATCGTGCTAGAAATTATTGAACAGCCTTGTACTAAATGTTACTGTACTGCTGGGTGTAGGTATTCCAATGATTTTGCTGTTCCAGCCAGATTGGCCCTTTAGTGAACGATGTTTAACAGACCAGAGCGCCATTTTGGGAACTTGGCAGAACACCGGTCTCAAACTCACCCATACGGTTGAGCCATATGATATAATAGGCAAACATATCGTCTTAAAAGGTCGCACTTGAGAGGAGAAAAAAGCACTGTTAGGCCTGGTGGAGACACCTGGAGGACCTGTATTACCTGTGACCAGTGTAGGTCGCTAGCCCCATTTCACAACTTCACAAGAGATTACAGGAGTCACCAAAGTGAAACCTTAAGGCTCACTTTCTTCAGAAACACTTATGAGCTGACTGAATTAACAAAAGGAACAAAGCAACTCAGAGTGCCCATCTCAAGCCGAACAGTACCAAAAATAGTACTGTTTCGTCCCATGAAACATGCAATATATGTATATACGCACTAAGAGCGAATAATGATAGTCCTGGTATGGTATATTGGTAGTCGCGCAATGAACTATACCTCATGTTTACGGTGACATCAACGGCAGCGGGGAAGTGGGCAAAAAACTGGTCCGAGGACCTATTCTACGGCTTTTCAGAATGAAAAATCGCTGGGTAGGCATCTTCAATCGAAAGTCTTCCATATACAGCGCTGAGAGATTTGAGGCTACTGTAGCTAATCGACGACTCACCTTACAGTACGGTAGCTCAGGATTCCTCATACATGCTGTTGCAACGACGCCCAGCCCAGAGTCAGCTTGAAGAAAATGTTATCAGATAGCATATGACCTGCGTTCAAGGATACTGTAACCCAGGATATCTGCAACGCGTACTTGACAAACTTGGCATAGTACCAAACGGATCCCGAGACGGTCGCAGAACATCGAGTAGTTCAGTACCTGGGTTTTGACGGCTTCTTCAGTGCCGCAGGTAAGAAATGGTTTAGAAGAAATGTCAACGAGATCAACGAGAGCAGTGGATTACGCAACGGTGTGAGATGAGGTGATGGCGACCATGCCGACTGGTTGGCGCTCATGCGCTCATGTTGCCGCTCAAGGACAGATTCGATGACATCAAGCCGATATCGGAAATCATTACTCAGCTAATCAAACTGCGCAAACGAAATGGAAGCGCGACGAATGAAAGGAAAACGTGTATTTCAAGCTTTGGATTGAAATCGAAACGTGACCACTACGGTGGGGAACTGGACGCATCGCGTGATGGAAGGAGAAAGGTAACAGAGAAGTATTGTAAGAAATAGCGTAATTCCCTGACCTTCAATGGCATTTGATTGGTGTCCGGCATTTAGTACCTATAAATGTAGAGGAGTTACAGTCGGGCACTGGTAGAACCACTGACAGTCAAGGGCATTCGATGAATCTCGAACAATTCTCTGACAGTGAGGTATTTCTCGAAAGAACTAATGTAGGAACCGGACAGGATAAGAGGACAAAAATTTTGAAAAGGGTGGGGGGAGGTAGTAGAATGAAGTTTTTTCCAATGCCAGAATGCACCTCTGTTTACAGTTCCGCTGGGCACAGACACCACTGCTTGAAGATGAGCTGTACACTCACCTTCGCGCATCGTGGTACTTGCCGTATGTGGGATGAATGGGTCCGCACGTTCATCCCACATACGGTAAGCACACGTGCCACTTTCTTCTTCTTCCTGTTCCAACTGTTGTCGGGTACGCTTTCTTGACCAATGATTTCCAACGGTCCGTATCATCGGCTGCGTGCTGGCCAGCAGCAGTCATACCCATGTTCAGGTCATCTTTCGACCGCATTCTCAGTCGGCCTTTTGGACCTCTACAACAAAAATGATCTAACCAGCACAAGAATGCTGAATTATGGCAAATGTCGAACCCCAGAAGTGAGTCGAAAACCTCATTCTTATCAATCTCGATACAACATCAGGTCTAATTTGAACGTGACCATGCTACAGTGAGACGAGATGCGGCGAGGGAGCTGGTAATCGGCATTATATTGCCTCGGACAATTTCGTTGCAGGATTCGGTCACCTCGCGTGTGTCTCAGACTCCATCGTAACATTCTCATCTCCATAACACCGTAGGCTCTTGTTTCCTCGGCCGTCATCTGTTCAGTCTCGGCTCCATAGATGGCGACTGGTTTCACTAGTGAAGTGTAGTTCTTTGGCCGTGCCACTTCTTCCGATCGGAAGTGGACCGGAACGGGACTGGGTGGGAGGGGTTAGCTATACCCGGGCGCCGTTTCACACTCGCTGCAGCACGCCCAGCCGCACGCCACCATAGCCGAACATGTTAGTTATCTGCGCCCTCTCACTTCTGGTTGTTTTGTACCGCCGAGTGCTATTTAGCTGCAGGAGCCTTGGTAGGGATGTACGTACAGCTTAGTGGAGATAGCATAGGCAGGTTTACGAGACAGCACTCGGGTGCCACTATCCTCGCTCCGAAGCACTTTTGAGTGGAGAACGTGGGGCGCTACTGCTGCTGCGGACCCATCGGGCATATGCCAGGATCGTCCCCGGAGGTGTGCGTACACTTTTTCTCCAGCAGGAAATAAAGGACGAAGTAATGTACGTCATCGGCAGTGGGAATACTTCGGTAGTAGTGAGCCCCCTTTTGGCTGTTTTACTTGAGAGTATAATAGTTGGCCCTGTGGTATTTCTCTAGGTAAAACTGAAAGAGTCGGTCCACGTCATCTCTGGTTTCTTTTCTCCGTACTCGAAGGCCTACACTAAAAGTGACTTCGCAAGATTCTGATGACAAAGCAAGGCAAAAGAAGGGATGCTCAAGAAGTCGGCCTTGTGTCGAAGGCTATACCATTGCTCGGATCCTCAGATCACTCTTCCTGGACGAAGCTTTATCCTACCTTGATCAGCTCCTCAATCCTGCCCTCTTTATTTTTTTGAGCAGGTTTCCTTAATTGATTGTAGCCATTATTCCCCTGACTGTAAACCTAGTCTTTTGATATTCACATGAAGACGTCCTCTATGATGAAGTGCTCAAAGGCATCAGGCACGATAACTTGGTACTCGGCCTAAAATGGTAGCAGAGGTGCTGTTAAGTGGGAAAATGGCAAAAAAGCGAAGTGAAGCGGTCAAAACCCTGTCAAAAAGCCATTGTTCTACACGAAGCAGAAAACTATTTCGGACGAGTTCCCCGTTGGCATCGTGCCAGTAAGCTACGGTAGATACGGCTGCACGTATGTACTCATATATCCATGCAGCACCGCAGCCGCTTCATATCAATCCCTTCGCTTCATATTGTACTTCGCAAATGAAGCGATACGAGCATCAGCATCGGTCGGACATTTGTGGGCGCGGGCGCGGTGGGCGTCCGGGTCGGTATGTTGCAGCTTGATAGGGCCCTACAAGGGTATCTTCCTCGACGCCACGCAACGCTTGCTCAAGGGCGCCGAATTTTGCCTTCTAGACGTATTAATCCTACACCTTAGCGATTTATCGTGCCCTCTACCCTTGGTACTACCGACCCACCCATGAGATCAACCTAGATTGCGCCCTTGAATTAGTTGGAACATTCTCTTAAGGATGATAAGACGTAAGCAGTACGCTCGGCATCTGCTTCTGTGGCATATAAATCGCATTACTTCCATATTGATTGTAGTTCAAATTCACACACAATGTTTTTCACGATAAAGAGTCTAGCACTTATGGCTAGAGCAGTCCAGATGGACTGATATACCCGTCTATTTATTCTACTAGCAAATTCATATTACAGATTGGAACAATTTACATTATTCGAGTAAAAATACATACAGAATTAATATTATCTTCGAAAGTGTGGCGGATTCCGATCATTGCACTGCGTGAAAAGAACCGACTGCGATCATTCGCACAGTCCTTCCTAACAGCGATGCTGTTGAGACCCATCCACGAACGTGCGGGAGTCACTGAAAGTCACGCCGACTACGAAAGGAAATCATAACACCTTCAATCAATCAACAATCAGAAAATCATAGCACCAGCTGAACTGTATTTCTAAGGGTTCGCAAGGCCAAATGACTAAAGCGATCCGCTTGTGACACATGACGTGACCTGCCACGACAAATTTTACACAGTGAAGATAA